ACGGTGGTGAGACTTGAACTCAAGACTTTTGTTCGTTGTGATGCCATGTTGAACCACCTCAACCAAAAACCATTGGAGATGGAGCATAATTATTTATTCAAATTTAGTCTTTGACGAGGATTCATCAATCAAAAGTTCTGAAGAGAATTACCAAGAACAGCAAGAAGTCTCCAACTAACAAATAGTCCAAGTAGATATGAAAGAAGAATGCCAATTGTCACAGATAGCTGCATCATGGAACAAAGTAGAATTTAGTCACATCTTATAGTTTAATAGGTCCAGATGAAAATAAAATTATAGGCTTCGCTAACCTGGTTCACCGAGCCCAATCCGCCTCTCATATTGTAAGGCGCTATCTCAGCTATATATACGGGCACCTATGTTCATATTCAAGGGGAGAAAAGGATCCATTGAGTCCATTAGGATTCTTTTAACATCTAGAATAACCACACAAAAGGTTTTTATTTACCGTGTAGGAGATAATTCCGACACCAAAACCTTCCAACAATCTTCCCATGTACAGAAACGAAATATCCTAATGTAAAAGAAAATGTAATCAGAATAATTCATTAAAGTTCTTGAAGCAGAGAGTAAAAGACGAGATGCTACCAAACATGTGGGAAAAACTCACTCTGGCAAACGATATTGTAAGCCAACCGATAATATTAGGTATGGCAGCAATCATTAAAGACTGCATATTATACAAAACAGATAAAAAGTTACTTTAGTAAAATTTAAAAACACAGTTAAAAATGAAGGTAACTAACTACTAGGATTAGTGAAACACTCGCACCCCCTTTCGTCCAATGTACTCAGCAATCTGACCACTTGCTATTGCCCCGACCATAGCCCCAACATTTGATAATGAACCGAACACAGAAAACTGGCCAAATTGTTTTAGTCGGTAAGTATAATAAACTATGCTGTTAAATCTATTGCAAGAAAGATTTATTCTCATAAAAACCTGGGATACTGTAAGCTTGAGATCTTTAGTGATTCCAGCTTGTGTTGGTGAAGAATATCCACACTTCACGAGAACAAGAAATATATTAGATAAACTCACAATCTGTAAACCGGCACATTAATAAGAGGGGGAAAAAATTAGATATATCCTAAACATCCTAACATCATGATAGCATCAAATTGAGGCCTCAAGTTCGAAATAAGAAATAGTAACAGCCAAAATTATCTTTTAAAAAGTTAATTCCAAGACTTCAATTCAGTGCCATCATTCCAAGAAACTATTACAAGCATAAAATAGTCATTTAAGTTCGGCATTATCCCAAAGTGAATTTCAGGAGTCCGGCTTCTAAATTCAATTTCACTCCAACAAAATACTTTTACAAAAGGGCATAGTATGGATTCTAATTTTAAGTCAAATTCCAATTCAAGTCAATTTCTTGGCAACTCAAACAGACAATATAAAAGAAACTATGAAAAAAATAAAGAGCAACTAGAAGTCAATTTCCGAAATTGAATGTTAAGAATTGCATAATTTCTCAGCTTTTGAAGTTGAAGTTTTACTTTGCTGCTAAATAATCTTCTTTCCTACAAAAGGACAAAATTTGCAAGTTCAATTTTCAGTAAATGTCCTAACTCAAGGCATAGTGACATGGAGTTGGAAGGACTGAAAACTTAAGTTATCAAGCATGCATTTTGCTTTAAACAAAATCATTCCTAATCCTGATTTCGCGTTCCCCAATCCATTCCACTAAACAAGCCTCTATCATTATTCTCCAAGTATTTGTCAAAAATAGAATGGGGAACTTGAAGTTCAGCTTATCCAAAATTAAGTTCAAGATAAAAAAATTATCTCTGTCCAATTACAATCCAAGCCTTTTAAGCTGAATTTACTAAGGGATAGTGTTTTTAAAAAGCCCTGCTCATCCACAACGTACTTGTAAACCCACAAAAGGATAGACTTTAGATTTTAAGCGTTCAAATTCAAGGCAGATCACCAAAAGGGCAACTCAACATTCAGCTTATCCAAAATCTGTTCAAGAATTACAAAAATTATCTCTATTTAATTCAAATTAAGTTAAATATTACTGCTGCATATGATTTTCAAAAATCCCCAGTCGACCAGAACCTACTTATCTACCCACAAGGCAAGGCTTCTACGAGACATATGCGATCGGAAGTGATTGTAAGCTTTAATCTTAGTTCTAACTGGCTCCACATACTTCAAAAACAAGTAATTTTTAAGGTATTTTAAACACAGCAAAACATGCTATAAAAAGATGCATAATCAGAAAAAGATTATCACATAACAATAAAAAATTGAAATTTAAAGTAGGGAAAGTAGTAGATTACAGTGAAACCAAACTGGATAGGACCCAACGCCACAATCAAAACACAAGCCAGCACTGAAATAGAGCTGTCCCTTATTGCTTGAGCAGAACCCATCAAACTAGACTGCCTTGAACCCATTCTATACCAACTTCCAGTATGCAAAAATGGCTTCCTCAGATCCACCCTCCCATCTTCAACCTCCTCTCTGAAACTCATTTTTGGACTTTTTCCCCACTAAAATTCTACACAAGAACTGATTATTGATTAATTCGTGCAACTCTATGAACCCAAAATCACTTTTTTTGGGGCAATATGTGATTGATTCTTTTTATTGGGTTCTTGAAATACCGTTGAGCTGAAAAGGTTTGGTGAGTAAGCAGGGATTTGTTGCCAAGATTTTTGTCGTGTCCTCAATTTGCATTATAAGTGTGTATGTGGATTGTGATGGTGGGGGTGGACGTGGAGGACAATTGTTTGCTGGCCCCCATGAAAGTTTGGGGCGCTTAATAGCATTACATGATTAGGGCAAATGATAAAAATCATGACGATCCTAGCTACCGTAGAGAGTAGGTGAATCGAAACGTGAGATTAATTTGGAACCAAGGTTGTCTATTTCAAGAATTTATATTTCTATATTTTCTAAGCACATGGGACTTCGATTTTTAAATGTTTGAGGAAATTTGTGAATGCACTATTTTTTTTTTTTTTAGTTTATGTCGTTAAATATTCCATATATGAAAATCATCAATTTTACGTGGTTAATTTTTCAAGTATTGAGATAATTGATTCAAATCTGAGATAGTATAGCTGCAAAAAGAAAACGATAATAACAAATAAGGATTACTCTTGTAACAAGATTAATGCTTAGGGTGAAATTTAAATTGACATTTTGATTTGTCTAAAATCACTAATAGACAACAATCTACCATTTAAATGGTGCACGTTGAGGATAAAATTCTACATTAATAGACTAAAAAACAATAATCATCATACAATAATTTGAACGACTACTCTATCATTGTTAAACTTTTAAATGGAAGTTAATATTCAATATTGTTAATGAAAAAACCAAATTAAATAAACATTTGGTCCCACAATCTTTCCCTAGTTAACTGGAAAAGCACAAATAATCTCTCATTATTTCAGTATTACACACTTCTATATTAAACAGTAGATTTAACACGATAATTTTAATAAAAATTTAGTTGATCTAGATTTTTTAGTAGATAGAACCACGAACTAAATGGAACTAAGAAAAAGATAAATATAGTCGATTCTGAATGCACTATTTAAGAATATTTTAATAGAAAACACCAATCAAAAAGGAAAAGACTTCAAAACACAAAGCCAATACTTAAGTAGAGCTATCCCTTATGGCTTGAGTAGAACTCATCAGACTAGATTGCCTTCATCCTATGCCAACTCCCGGTATGTAGAAAGGCTTCACATTCCCCCCCACATCTTCACCCTCCGTCCTCAAACTCATTTTTGCTCTTTTTTCATTTCAACTAGAATTCTATTCAAAAATTGATTATTGATTTTCACCTTTTTTTTGGGTGATACAAGATTTTCTTTAGAGGGTTCTTGAAAAACGTTTAGAGTTTGAAAGAGTTCGAAGAAATAAGCAAGGAATTGTTGGCCACATTGAAAGTTTGGTGTAATAAATGTCGACACTCTTTGAACACTTTCAAAACTTGTACTTTCATTTAGTGTACTAATGAAGTATTGATACTCTTCGAATACTCTATGATCATTTTCCCTTCATTTGTAGTAGTAATGCATTGTAAATATAATAAATACATATTTACATAATTTAAAGGACTTCACGAACAAAAATCAAGATAAAGATATAACACTTATCTATTTCCTCTTTACCTCCTCTCTTTATCTCTGTTAGTAACTCATAGTACAATTGGCCTTGAGCTTTCAATATTTGTAATGGAAAAATTGAATTAAATAAAGATTCAACCCCGCACTCATTTACTCTTTAAATTGAAAAATACACAAGCCACTTGACTAGTGTTTATAAATCTTCATTTTATCCATACTCTTCGAGGGATTATCCACTTCTCAACACTCATTTCTACATATTTATAATTAAACTGTTTGCAAACACTTCCTAAACATACTTTTAATGATTTCCATATCACACAATTATCATAAACCATAAATAAAATATGATAGTTAATAAGAGTTTAGTTGATTTAATTATTTTTAATAGATCAAACAACAAATTGAGTGGAACGAAGAAATTTTTTTTGGATAATCGATTTCAAATTTATAAAAACTGAGACTTTGGTTTTTAATTGTCAATATTGTATGCATTATTATGTAATTGTTTCTAAACTTGGCTTCTGCTGATTTCTTGACTGGGGCATAAATTTGAAAGGTTCTCAGTATATGCTATTATGTTGTGTATGTATATAATTTGATCTTAGTCCCACTTGCAACTAGTTGTTATTGAATATGTGTATCCAAAAAAGGGCAATTTTATCAGTACTATGGTTTACATATGTCTGGTGTTTCTTTGACTATAAAACTATATTGGATTTTTCCTTTCCCTTTGTGATGACGTTCCATTTAAATTTGTGGTCTGGCACTTAGGTACCTTTGTTTCTGAATGGTTGATAAAAGATAATAAAATCACGTTATGATATTGTGATATTTTTCTTCCGTATAACTTGCGGAAGTTTTATCACATTACCAAGAATATTACAAAGAGAAAATAAAATAGACTGTTATAGACGTTTTTCTATACTTTCTTCGCAATGGCTGAACTCTTTTTGAGTGTAGTTTGCTTTGAATTTTTGGCTTCAAACTCTCCACCGTTTCTCCATACTCTGAGCCAACTCTGTCTACGCATTTATTATCCACACATTTCGTGTGATCAACTAATGTTTCAGTCACTAATAATTTTATACGAAAAGAGAGCTAGAAAGTGGATATGATCACAAATTTAAAACCTATGAGGCTACAGGAGAAAAGAAACAACACTTGTTTTTCTTATAAAAGAATATAAAATTAGAGGTTAATCCAATTACATAATCAAATCCTCCCTTGTTTATTACTTGATTGTTCTTTCTTTTGTAATTTAGCACATAAAAGTACGTTGATCGGGTTGGCCGTTTTAAGAAAACGACTTGTAAATTCATTTTTTTTCTGAAAATTCAATAAAATAAAAGAATGACTAATCACTACTTGATCATCGAAGTAAAAAAGAAACAAAAATAAAATAAAATTGCAAAATGTAAGCTGGATTTGCTGAACTTTATTTCGTTCCAAATTGGTACGACTTTCAAATCATCATAATCAATTTCTGGGTTTTGAAAAAAGGAGTCAGTATTTGCATCGAGTAAAATTTCACTTAAAAGCTCAATGACGTTGGAAAATTTAACCCAATAAAAAATGTTAATGATGAAGTCCAAATGGTTCTTAATAAATTTCCAGGGCAGCTAAATTAGAGCTTTATATCGTGGGATATAACGAAAAAACACACGCAAACATCGGAAAACCAATTTTAAACATTAATCCAAGTGGGATATTCGTGGAATATTTGCCTATCATCACTCAGCAATTTGTATTATATGCCCTTGACAGTGTGAAATTCCTTCGCCATTATCAAAATTATGTTCATCTTGCCTACTATATAATAGTATATATCATGCACATGTTTATTACTTGAGAATCAACAAAGAAAAGATTCATGAAGTATGAAAACTATGATCCTTGTTTCCCCGAGCAGCCGGTGGTCGATTTATACCTTCCGGTGTGGGCAAAACTTCCGGCATTCAAGCACAAGCCAGCCTTCGTTTGGGTCGAAGACAGCCCTGATGGAGTGTCCAGTTGCTCGTCGTCCTTAACTTATGAGCAGCTGAACAATTCAGTGCAGTCGATTTCTGAGCAACTTCAGCTACAAAGAGGTGACACTGTCGTGATTTTATGTGCACCCGGGCTCGAGCTTGTAGAGATAATCTTTGCTTGTCAAAGAGCAGGCCTTTTGGCTGTTTCTATAATCCCTCCACCGATGTTTGAAAATTGAATCGAACATCAATTCGAAAAAGACAAAGGATCAATGGTCAAAATGTCGAATTGGATTGAACCCGGTTCTAACCGATTATAATAAATAAATAAACCACAAAAAATTGAGAAAATAGTTTTTTTTTTTTTAATATTAGTTAATAGTTGTAGATAAAAGACTTTTAAACTTTATCCACTTCTAATCTAAAAAATAAATAAATAAATAAAATAAAATGACGATAGATATAGTTAAATTTTCAACAATTTATATAACATTTAACCTCTGCTTAGATTTTATTAATTTTATTTATTATTATTATTATTTTTTAAAGTCTTCCCAAAAGTTTTTTGGAAGGCTTGAAGGTGTTCCGTTTGGCATGTTAAACAATCTGAAAGAAAGAAGCTATAAAATGGCCAACAAATGGTAGGGGAATAATAAATTTTGGACAGCCATTTTAACATTAGGCCTGGCTCTGAGGAGTTTTCTAATTAAAACATTAACCAGTCGGTTGGACCTCGCTTTTGGTTTATTTTTTTTCTTGATTATTAGTTCAAAGGGTTTTAGCTTTTAAGTCATAATTAAACTGGTTTATTGACCAATTCACGAGTTTTCCAGTTGGATCGATTTGATTTTGACCATATTGCTACATGTATATCAAACTTTACATAATGGATTACATAATACCAAGTCAACTTTTTTATCAAAATCTTTTCCCTCCACGTCATTTTGTGTAACCCCATATGTACCATATTTATGTACAAATAACATAATCCTTGTTACCAAACACTTTGTTTAATTTTATCATATTAGTTTAGTCACCTTACAACTAATAAATCAGTTAAGATATTAATAAGATTTAAGATATTAATCACACATAGATGAATTGATTTAAGATATTAATTAGAGTTGACAACTAATAAACGAGTTAAACAATTTACTATAAACGAGTCCATCTGCTCTAGGTGTTCACTTTTCGGGTGACTTGCACGCTGAATGGATCTCACAACTTTTCAATTCATATTTCAACAATTTTTATTAAATTTGTTAAAAATTTAATTTTAATCCCGTCAAATGGGCACAATGATATCCAACTTTTTTTTTACATTTTTAAAGCATTTAAATGCAAAGGGTTCACGCCCGGAAGCCATAGAAACCGGTCCAGGTCCTAAAAGGGTCCCAGACTTCCAGTAGGGTTTTAGCCCACTACATTCTCTCTTTATTTGGAGGTAAATCTCTCTCTCTCTCTCTCACTCAATCGCACATAGATTGATTCCTTCTTTGTATTTGTATATTTGGTTTTTGAGTTTTTTTTAGTTTAAGTTTTTGTTCGAAATTTTCGATGATAGTTGGTTCTATGCAGTTTTAACATCTGAGTTTGAGAATTTTGAATCTGGATGTGGTTTAAAATTCAATTGTCGTTATATTTTCTTTTGAATTTTTAACCAAGTTTTGTTCAAGAAATGCTTTTGAATTATTTATTCATTTTCTTTCGTTGCCAGGTTGAGGCAATTTGATGGGGTCTGGAATGAAATGCTTAGTTCTTTAAATTTTGTACCCGAGTGGTAGAAAGGATCTACATATTAGTGTTATCTATATTTTAATCTGCTATCGTTAGCATCCTCTGCTTTAGTGACTCTGATTTAACTCGAGAAACCCGGGCTTAACGGTCGTCGGGAACTCCTCTATAGCGCGTATACATAGAGATAGACATGAATCTGAGGCACTTCTTTTCGAGACAGACAATCAATAATATATCAAAACTCAATGGTAGAGTGTTTTCTCCTCGCCGAGGTTATCATAGACGTTTTGTAACCATTGCTTCCTGCATGTCCCCTTCGAATTGTTCATCAGAAAGTCGTGGTGCATTTTCTATAGTCAGCGTCCCTAATTCAAATTCACATTTTGGTAGATTTGTTCACACTGCTCAACTAAATGACTCATCTACTGATTCAGAAACTGAGTCAGATGATAATGCAACCACAAATGAGTTCTTATCCAGATTTGTTTGGAGAATGAGGGGAAAGCTGTCTGAAGCATATGCGGACTGTGATAAGAAGACCATTGATGGGATGCTTTTGATTATTGTTGGAAAGGTTGTCTCGGAAATGGAAAAAGGTAGTCTTGAGCAGATGGTTGAGGCTGCTTCATCCACACCTTCACAGGATTTCAGTGAGGACCTATGGAGAACAGTGTGGGAGGTTAGTCATGTGGTTTTGGAAGATATGGAGAAAGAAAGGAAGAAGGAGAAAATGAAGGCTTTTCTTCAGTCTGAAGAAGTTAAGGACATGTGCAGGTTTGCTGGTGAAGTGGGTATTCGAGGGGATATGTTGAGAGAGCTCAGATTTAAATGGGCACGGGAGAAGATGGAGGAAAGTGAGTTTTATCAGACTTTGGAACGGCTTCGAGAAGTGGAATCACAAACTGAAGCCCAACAAGAGCCATTAAAAACAGAATTCATGGGTAAAGAACGGGGTATGAAGGATGATAATAATGTGTCTGAAGAGAAGCCTAATGTCGTGGAGCTTCCCAAAAGACACGGGAAGATTAAGTACAAGATTTATGGACTTGATTTGTCTGATCCAACATGGGCTAAGGTCGCTGATAAAATTCATGAGAGTGGAGAAGTTCTTTTTCCTCAGGAGCCAAAGCCAATATCCGGGAAGTGCACACTTGTTGATGACAAAATCCTGTCATTACAAGAGGATGACGATCCTGCTCCTCTTTTGGCTGAATGGATGGAGCTTCTTCAGCCTAGCAGGATTGACTGGATTAATCTTCTTGACAGATTGAATAAACAAAATTCTCGTGTATACTTTAAGGTATTGCACTTCACCCAATTCACATCTAAATTCTTGTCTAATAATACGCATGTATCTGCACTGTATAAGATATTTTCTTTTGATCTGTATCCCAACATTTGGTTCATTGTCTGTGTCTCATAAAAAATCCTGTCATTACAAGAGGATGACGATCCTGCTCCTCTTTTGGCTGAATGGATGGAGCTTCTTCAGCCTAGCAGGATTGACTGGATTAATCTTCTTGACAGATTGAATAAACAAAATTCTCGTGTATACTTTGAGGTATTGCACTTCACCCAATTCACATCTAAATTCTTGTCTAATAATACGCATGTATCTGCACTGTATGAGATATTTTCTTTTGATCTGTATCCCAACATTTGGTTCATTGTCTGTGTCTCATAATTTTTTTTTTTCATGTTTTCCTGGGACTTGATTTTGTAATGTACGTTTGGCGCAAAATTATCTGTATGCTGGCTCTCCCCGTTGTTTAGCATAGTTTTTCAATTTGGGTTTATTAGTGCTAGTTTTATCCAAATATACTAAGGTATCTGCCTCCTTATTAAATAGTTAGGATATACCTGTGCTTTGACCATTGGCTGTGTTGGAGTTGAATTGTTACCACTGAATCGACATTAAGTAGATGACCAGATTAAAAGCATTGAAATTTGATATAGTCTCCAGCTATTTCACAGAGAATTGCAGATTCCTTTTGAGACACTATTACAACTAAAGGACTGACAAATTTATGCATAAAGTGTTGTATGATGTAAGAGTAGTAAAACAGAGACATGCAATCACGGAAAGAGATAAGTACTTATATTATTCTCTCAAACCTATATGTCACCCATTTTCCCTATGGTTGTTTGTGTCGACTCGCAATCTGAAAACTGTATCCATTGCATATGAGAATGAATAATTCATATTTTTTGCAATGCTGTATGATATCGAAGATATATCTGATTGCTGACGTTAGAATGGCACTAGATGTGCCACATAAATGAAAGAATCCAACGCATTTGCTAAATAATTCTTATTTATAAATGTAATAGGAGATTAGAAGATTGTTAGTTAATCATAGGGTACCTTTTTTTTTTCCTTTTTTTTTTCAATCCTGACATGAGCACTGTTCAATGATTTGTTTTAGATTGCAGAATTTCTACTCGGTGAAGAGTCCTTCCAGACCAACATGCGTGACTATTCAAAACTGATTGATGCTCATGCTCGAGAAAATTGCTTAGAAGACGCTGAAAGAATTCTCAAGAAGATGAATGAAAATGGTATTCTACCCGATATTCTAACGTCAACCATTATGGTTAACATGTACAGTAAATCGGGAAATCTTGATCAAGCAAAAGAAGCATTTGAAAGCTTGAGGAGTCATGGATTCCAGCCGGACATGAAGGTGTATATTTCTATGATCATGGCCTATGTCAATGCCGGGCAACCAAGGATGGGTGAGTCATTGATGAGAGAAATGGAAGCAAGGGACATGAAACCCACAAAAGAGATATTTATGGCCTTGCTTCGATCCTTTGCCCAGCACGGTGATGTCAACGGAGCCCAACGAATTGCTACTACCATGCAGTTTGCTGGTTTCCAACCAAGTTTGGAATCCTGTACGTTACTAGTAGAGGCATTTGGTCAAGCTGGTGACCCTGATCAGGCTCGGCATAATTTTGATTACATGATGAAACTTGGGCACAAACCGGACGACAGATGCACTGCTAGCATGATTATGGCTTATGCAAACAAGAATTTTTTGGATAAAGGTTTAAATCTTCTACTTGAACTTGAGAAGGATGGTTTGGAGCCTGGGGTTGCTATTTATACAGTTCTGCTCGACTGGTTGGCCAAGATGCTGTTAATTGATGAAGCTGAACAGATATTGGATAAGATTGCAGAGCAAGGGGAGCCTCCTCCCCTCAAGGTGCATATAAGCCTTTGTGACATGTACTCGAGGGCTGGCTCCGAGAAGAAGGCTCTTCAAGCTTTAGGAGTTTTGGAGGCGAAGAAGGAGCAATTGGGGCCTGAGGAATTCGAGAGGGTTATACATTCCCTCCTAACTGGTGGCTTTCTACAAGATGCTCGAAGGGTTCAAGGGTTGATGGAAGCTCAGGGATTCCAAGCATCTGAACCACTAAAGGTTGCTTTGATGGCATCTCAGGTATTTGGTCGTAAGAGACAAACGAGCAGATAGTTTGGTTATTGTTAGGTATATTTGTTCTCAACATTCCAATTATAGTGGATCTACGATGCTTCTGCTGATCAGAACCGTGCAATTCATTGCTATCACTCTGAAGATCATTCCAAAGAGGTCAGTTGTGTTAGTTTAAAAGTAGGAAGTTGCTGATTTGGTTTTGCTTTTAAACTAAATATATTCAGATTCAATCCATAAAACCGAGTCTGATCTCGTCATGGATGATGTTATTCTGAGGTAAATCAGGAAGTAACTGTAACAAAAATAAATTAAACTTTATTTTAATAAATTTGATGTCTGTTTTATGAATTTTTTAATGATCACTCTGTTTAATTGTTGCTATTGCTAGATCTTGTCAATCTTAAAAGTTTGTAGCATCGCCTCATCGTTTTATCGGGATAGTATCCTTATCTGCGCCTATAATTTTGTAATATATGTACAATGATGATGTGAAGCACACTGTTTCTGATTTGTCATTGATTAATCTCTTCAATCTTTGATTCAAAAAGGGAAAATTATAGCTGCGGTCCCTAACATTTTCATTTTTTTATAGGCTTTATTCTAACCTTTATTTTGTGTCAACGAATGTCCCTAACCTTTTATAAATATGCACCCGAGGTCCATTTGGACAGAAACCGTCCAAGACACCGTCAGTTGACAGGGAAAATTCCTTAAACTATTTGTTATCGTGACGATTTTACTAGATGTTGATGTTTTTTTGGACGGTGTTGTGGACGATTTTATTGAATGTTCACTTCTTAATTTTCTCAATTAATTGATGGTGTTTTGAACGGTTTTCGTTCATATGGACTTTAGGTGCATATTTATGAAAGATTAGGAACATTCGTTGACACAAAATGAAGATTAGAGTAAAGCCTGTAAAAAATAAAAAAGATTAGAAACCGCTATACAATTTTCTCATTCAAAAAAATGGACTGTTGCTAGGTATTGTCAAGTAACCGACACAAGAAGTAAGAACCATTGTAAGTTGTTAATTCTTAGTTTGAAATGAAAATTTTGTCTTAGAAAATATTCTGAGTTTGACGTCATCAACAACAAGTTAAATTAATGGAACGTAATGTTCAATTAATACTTTCTTTTGCGAAATGAGGCAAACATATAAATTTCATTGACTCGATTAGGCATAAACTATGAGAACACCTCAAGGGCATTCGACATCCTTCAACCCCACAAATTGCTAATAGAAGCATCTTCAATAATCCTCTTTATTTTGAATAACATATTTTCAATTTAAAAAAGCTTGAATAATCTTTGGAAATAAATTTTACGTAGTAATATAGAGAAAACAAAATTATTTTAAGCACCGACAGTATCGGAAGCGCCCTTTCTTCCAGAGGAGGCCACCATAAATTTTGAAAAAGATTGATATTTTTTACACGATAATACTCGATTCAGACCTCTAGTGCATGGCATGACCCACCATGACATAAAGTTACACACATCATTTTATTTCTTTTCTTTGTGATAAATATCTTCCTCTGTGTCACGCTGTATCAAATTCTGTGGGCTGCTATAGAATTTGACCACAGACACAGTTAGAAAACCACACTACAAAATTCCAAGATTAATGAGAGCGTTTGATTATTAATATTTTAATGAAAAATGTTACATTTTTACTTAAATTTTTATTTTGTGCTATTTAATTGATATTTTTCATAAAAAATATATTCCTATATTTGGTTACGTTATCATATTTCTCTTATAAAAAAGAAGAAAATATTTTCTTTAAAAGAGTAAGTTTTCATTTTTCAAGTAACTATCTCTCTCTCACATCTACCTCCTCTCTTTTTCATCCACATATCAATAAAAAAATAAATAAATATAATTTTTTTAGGTTAAAAATTAAATCAATCAAACATATTTAAATGACAATTTTTATTAAAATTAGTTTTAAATAATTTAATTGTCAAGAATTTATTCTATGGGTAATGAAACACAGTATTGAAGATAAGATACAGCTAAGAAACCACTCTACAAAATTCCAGGATCATCACATAATTATAATATTATTATACTGATTGAAGATAAGATCAAAATATAAATGGGACCCAATTTTCCTTTCTCTCTATAAAACATTTTTAACAGATTCCTAGGTTTCCATCACAAGACAAACTTAAGCTTGCAAATAATGGGTTCTCTTATGGCAGGTTGGGACTCTCCTGTCCCGGATGATAAAGCTGGTATGGATGTTAGTTTCTTGATTAATAATTACTTATAAGTTGGTTTTATAAGTGATTATTTTATTTAACCCTTTTTTCGTTTTTGGTTGTTCAGTGAAATTTCAGAGAAATAAGTCATTGACTAAGGAGGAAATTGAAGCGTTTTGGAAATCGAAGAAAAGAAAAGAAGAGGAACATTTAAGAGAGATTTCTGCTCTGTCACCCCGCAGCCAGGTTTAGTCACTTTTAAGTAACTTTTATTAAATAAGTAATTTATATATACTTCAAAATTGATCCATGAAAAATTATTTTACTTCAGATTAATCTTATCATAAGTAATCTTTTTAAGCTTTTGCAAACATGTGCATTTATGCAGGAACAAATCAAAGAGAAGCTCTTTCCCCTCTTGGAAAGTGAAACAAGTCTAGATAAACTATTACAAAAGAATGGCTGGTATGAATAATTATTTCTATTTTTGAGCTTTTCCCTTACACTTTGCTTCCTGTTAATAGATTGATACAATTTCTGTACATTAGACTCGACCGTATAAGAAGAATAATGTTATTTGCAGTTCTTCACCATCACAATCACTCAGCATACATTTGATTTATGCATAAGATAATAAAGAACTGTCACATAAATATATCAAATTACTGATCGATACGTAGTACGACTATGACAGTGAGCGAATGTAAATAACAGTACTTGATAGAAATAAGATTAAAGAAGAATAGTAGGTTCGATCATGTCGGTACAAATCAGTATCACATTCGAACATATTAGGATATATTCATGGCAAAGCCTTTTGACTTTGAACAGTCTATAGGTTGTTGCGCATATCAGTACGAATTGGTGTGAAAACCTTAACCGAGTAACAAGATCAAAGAGGAGTTTCAGTTTTACTCTTATCTATTGAACATGTCAGCTTATCCTTGACTCACTTATAATTTATTCTCTCTTCTTGATTTTTTATTTTTCAGGTGGATCAGTAGTACCTCTGCTTTTCTAAATGAACCTCCAGTAATTGCATCGGACGGCTCTAATCAGAAGTACAAATCACAATACCATGTAGCTAACCTCGCAAAAGAGCACGTAGAAACTGGGATCGGGGCTTAATTCTTCCAATAAGGGCTAGGCTTATGTAAATATCAGCTTGTGCCTCTTTTTTCGGGTGTGGAAGTGTTTTTGGAAAGTGGTTTCAAGCCCGAATTGAGTTTGTTCTCAAGTTAGGGCCGGGCTGTTCTTTCGTGTGATTTTCTTTCTTTTACATGTTTAGAGCCTTTGGTATTAAATTATAGTGGACAAGACTATGATCCGTTGGTAAAATGTTTTGGTGTTATAAATTTAATTATAGTATTGTGTTTAAATTAATTTAATTTGACATTATTTAGCAACAAAAAATAATTATTTTACTTCTGAGTTAATGGAATGATGAACTTATCTGCATTTTAATTTACGTTTCGAAGAAGAATTTAACTAAATTATGAAGAACTAGGACTCGAAAAAAATGAAGATGATGATCAAGTACATGAGTAAAATGATACCACTTCGTTTAACATTTAGGGTCTGTTTGATTATAAAAATGAAATTGAATTGAATTGAAAACGAATTTCAGGGAATTGAATTGTCAATAAATTATTTTCTGAGAATTGTAAATTGTTGTGTTTGATTGGTATAATTTTTCACTAAAAAGTGTTTTTTCGTATTCGTTTGGTTTTGTTTTACATAAAAATTGTCAATTAATGGGATATAATTTATTAGTATTGGAGATAAAATTTATTTTCATTGCCAAAAAAAAAAATTCAAGAAAATTATCTATCATTTGGTGTTCGTTTGGCTTTATTTTATGTAAAAATTGTCAATTAAATGAAAATATTTTTTTACAATAATTCTTAGAATTTGTTAACTTTGCCAAATATATATATAAATAAAACCAGTTCCCACCATACCCTAAAAACTAAGAAAATTCCAAAGTTCAAGATAAGCAAGAACTTGAATTCCATGGAAAAAAATAAACCTATCAAACACCTTAAAGTTGGAAAATGTTGTTCAAATTTCATTTTTCATGGAAAATTTAACCCTATCAAATATACCCTTATGATTTAAGAACTTCGAATAATCTTGACATAAAATATAGAGATTCGTTGGTGATCAATAATTTTACAGGGTACTAAAATTTTTTTAAATGTTTCTTTTCAAAATTTTGTACTCGTTGTTTATCATATGGCGAGACGTTAATATACAAGCGATCTTGATATAATTATTGTTTTATTGAAAGTTATTTTATTGTAGAAAGAAAAGAAAATCAATTGATAAATGAAGTATTGACAGGAAACACTATGATGCTCAAGGGACAGAAGGATTTTTTTATATTTTCGTAGGGAGCCATAATCGTAGGATCAATCTCGATCTTTCTTTTAGCACGAGGAGAGACTATAGTTCTATCGTAGATTCGTGGCAACATATAATTTAATTAACATTGTTACACGTTGCCATGACTTAGATGTATCAATTAGCATATACATAATCAATTAATTGAGGGTTAATTTTACAAACGGTCACTGAACTTACAAAAAAATTACAAAACGATCACTGAAGTTTAAAACTTTTAGTAACGGTCACTTAAGTATTGGAACACTTTCAAAACGGACACTGAAGTTTAAAAAGTTTCTGAAACGGTCACTGAAGTTGAAATTTTTTTTTTTAGTTTTTTTGTTACATTTGCGGTAATTTTTCGGCTACTTCCAACCACCGATACAATCGAATTTTGATACCAATGGAAAACTCACAACGTCCTCTTTAATTACCACTCAAAATCTCTCTGTAACACCAAGGAATTCGACCGGAAAATCACCGCAAAAGTCGCCCAAAAAAATCTGAAAATCTGCCTAGATTTTCAAATTTTTGGGCGAATTTTAAGACAATTTTTCAGCAACTTTTGACCACCAAGACCGCCGGATTTTGATACCGTTGGAAATCCCACAATTTCCTCTTCAATTAACATCCAAAATCTCCCCCAAACTCCAAAGGAGTCGGCCGGAATAAACTCGCAAAGTCAGCATCCCAAAAAGGCGAAAATCTGGGATGCCAAATTTGTGAGTTTATTCCGGCCGAATCCTTTGGATTTTTGGGGAGATTTTGGATTCTAATTAAAGAAGACATTGTGGGCTTTTCAACGGTATCAAAAATTGGCTATTTTGGTGGTCGAAAGTTGTCAAAAAATCGCCGCAAAAGTCCACCAAAAATCTGAAAATTTGGGCAGATTTTTGCCTTTTCGGGTAGTCAACTTTGTGGGCTTATTCCGGCCGAATCCTTTGGAGTTTGGGGGAGATTTTGTGTTGTAATTGAAGAGGATATTGTAAACTTTCCAACGGTATCAAATTCCGATGGTATCGGTGGTCGGAAGTGGTCGAAAAATTATCGCAAAAGTAGCTCAAAATTTTTTAAACTTTAATGACCATTTTTGAAAGCGTCCCAATACTTAAGTGACCGTTACCGAAAGTTTTAAATTTCAATGACCGTTTTGTAATTTTTCTGTAAGTTCAGTGACTATTTGTGAAATTAACCCATTAATTGACATAAATATAATTCAACAATAATATAAAAATAGAAGAGAGTTAGAAAAACAAGTTTTGGGAGTTATGTCGAAGACGTGTCTTAAAGTTGTATTGTCTCCCATTCGTACGGATTCTTTCGACACTATATACCTCCAAGATAAAATCCATTCAACTGTCCTTCTATGAGCACGACCATATGAATATAAATGAACGAGCTTTTATTGAACAATCAAAAGTGTATGAACATAAAATGTATATTTAAGTGGTTAAAGGAAAAAAATTCAACAATGAAATACAATTACATTTTATAGGTAAAATTTCAACCCCACATTTATACTATTAAAGCACAAATTACAATATGTATTATGGTCTTTTAATTTTACGTTAAAACTAAAAATTAAAAGGTTTTTAATTTAAAAAGTTGAAACTTTTATTCTTCAGTTACAACCTAAATTATGAGATTTGATTTTATTTTAAAAATTACTATTAAAATCAAAATTGAAAATTAATATTTGTTGTGAAAGTTTAAAACTTTTAAAAATGTTCTAACAATCCTCACAAGTTTTAAACGTTCAAAATAGATAAATATATATATAATAGTGGCAACGTTATATTGTGTAATAAGTGTATGTGTCTTTTGAATTTGAACTTCACTTAATGATAACAATTTCTATTTGAGGGAACCATAAGGGTCTAAGCCTTGAATTAGAACTCTTTAGACAAACTTCAATTGTTCCACACACAGTATCGATTTAAACTTTAGTTCATAACAGGTAGTCAGTTAATGGCCATGCACTCTAATCTTGATGTAAGAATCTCTAGGGAATAGTCCAATCTCATAGCTACGGCTCATGGCAACTCTTACATAGGTGAATCCTCTAAGGATCTGTGTGACTCATACCTCGCAAGAATTCTCGCCTCGGTACTCATTTAGGGTTAAACCCTTCCTAATATCACATTATTATTAATATTATTATCATAGGGATGAGAACAAATAAAATAGTGTTATTACAAGTAATGTAGTACGTGTTATTTCTACCACATTGAACTTGTTCATGGGGTCTCTAATCACAAATGTTAGGTTACTCTCGGAGGTGACTCCTTTACACGCTTAAACCCATCCCCCTCGATGATTTACATATGATCATGGACTTCAATATATTCGTATCCCTCTTGGGCAATAATTTGGTATCATAATATTTGTAAACTCTTATTTTCTGCTTGCAAATTAGCACATCTGTTAAATCTTCTAAAACATTTCAAAATATCAAAGTCACGTTCAGTGTAATAAGATAAACATTGAAATTTAAAAGTCACATATTTGAACATTTGCATCCATTCAATTCTTATATTTCACCTATATGCCTCAAATTTCATTTTTAGCACTTTTCAAGAGTTAGTTTACAATTAGAAAAATTAAGATATAAAACGTATCTATATTAAATACCTCCACATTCTAAAAATTTCAATCGTGAGGAGTTTCTTTGAAATTTTCCATGTCTGCAAATACTTTTAAACACTTTCACAAATTGCTAGCGTCACAATAGATAAGAATAACTCTCATAGATGATCAAGTTATACAAACTCTCATTAGAAACATCAAAGTTATATACAAGTTGCAAGGCTTATTACAGTTTTGTGTACTGTTACAGAAACATGCAAAGTTTCTTAAGGAATATAATTGACATTAGATGATCGATCACTTCACTATATATATGCTATTGTATGATTAAAACTAATTCAATAAATAAAATTAATATAAAACATCAATACTTCTTCTACAATGTACATAGTTTAGCAACAATGTTAATAGCATTGAGTTTATATTTCATCATAATTCACAAGATCAATTAGAAACAATAGCAAGTTTCTAGTATTTGATCTTGTCTTCCCATATCTTTCAATCAATGCATATAATTAATCAAGCAACCACAATATAATTTTTAACACAATAATACCAATACAAGAGTTACAAATCTAGAATAAATCACTATTACTCATAGGAGTTACTTTGTAGAGCCCATATAGAAAACCTTGAAGGCATGTCAATTAATACATGTACTATGCAGTTTCTATGATAAGTTAATGTACCTCATTTTCTTTCTTACACCATATAAATACTTTATCAACTAGGACAACTCTCATCATAATTTGGCAAATAAGACTTGGAACTAAAAGGACTCGAGGCCAATGCCGCGTTTCTTATCCATTACTCTTCGACTGAAAGTATATCATTATATCGTCATGCCATTACAGAAGAAAAGAGAATCTGGCCTATATAGTTGTTAAGAGGGTAATGATGCTTTAGCAGATTTCATCTAATATGCAATTTTGGAAAATTGCATCATACAACCATTTGTCAATCTGCCCCAAAATAATCAAATTTCAATATGTTAATTTCCAAGTTTACACAACATAAATTATATTAGCAACGACAAGCACGATTGCTAATAAATAAGTTAAGAGGCTATATAGTGCAAAACACTCACAGCTTAAGTACTAAAGTAATTGAGTCTTTTTCATTCCTTCCTAGCAATGCTATCACTGCATAACTATCCTCTTCAATTGACAAGAAATTCTTAATGCCTTTTATACACATTTGGAATTTGTCTATATCTATTATCATACGTATTGAATTTCCTTTGTGCAAAAGAATATAAAGCAAATCTTTAGTAATCTACTTAAGTTTTATACAAATATCATTTAACTGAAGAAATCAAATAATGCTACAAAGCGCTAAAACAATTACCAGTAAAATCAAACAAACATTTAAAAATCTGATTTTCTTACTCAAGTGTAGTCTTTAAGATTAACAACTAAAACCTATAAAAAAAACATATTCATTATTATTCAGATAACAAGACTAATAATTTTAGCAAACATATAATGCAGCCACATACAGCAAATCAAGAAAATGTATTTTAAATTTGATGATCACACCATATTTAATCTACAAGCAAATCACTGACGTGACTTTAGTTTGTTGGAAAAATTGGATGATTTGTATGTAGATATTTATCAATTAACATAAACATAATCAATTAATTGACATAAACATAATTTAACAATAATATAAAAATAAGAAAAGAGTTAGAAAAGCAAGTCTTGAAAGTCACGTCGAAAACGTTATCCTAAAGTAGTGTTGCCTCCCCTTTGTGCGGGTTTTTCTGGCACTATACGGCTGGAAGATAAAACTCATGTAACTCTCCTTTATGGGCACAACGATATGGAAATAAGTGAACGAGTCTTTATCGAATTGCCAAAAATGTATGAACATAAAATGTATATTTAAGTGGTTAAAGAAAAAAAATTCAAGAATGAAATACAATCACCTTTTATAGGTAAAATTTCAACCCCATATTTATACCATTAAAACACAAGTTACAATATGAATTACGGTCTTTTAATTTTATGTTAAAACTAAAAATTAAAAGGTTTTTAATTTGAAAGGTTGAAACTTTTATTCTTAAGTTGCAACTTAAATTTTGAGATTTAATTTTATATTAAAAATTAATATTAAAATCAAAATGAAAATTAATATTTGTTGGGAAGGTTTATAACTTTAAAAAATGTTCCAACAACTTTCACTCGTATGCCACCGTCATTTATGATAACAATGCTACTTTCACCTATAATATTTCATTATTAGGCTCTAGAAAAATAAGATAAAAAAAAAGGTTGAACCCCAACCTTGAAGGCCCCGCCTCGCCCCTGAAGTATCGCGAGGGAGGTAAATCATGGGATTGTCCCAGCAGGCCAGGGAACAAGAGTTTACCGGTACACTGGTACCCACAAAAAGTCCAATTTCATATATCAAGAATCGAACTCTCACATTGCAACTGCAGCAAAACTGAGGCTACCTCACTCCCGTCCTTTGCACCACTGATTTATGTCCCTAGGGGCTCTAGAAAAATAAGATTGCAATTATTTCGAGTGGTTGACAAATTACGACAAACATAGCTCTTGTGTGAATTTTTCATTGACAATGTGACATGTTGCTGTGACTTTCACTCGTATGCCACCGTCATTTTTTAAAACAATGCTGCTTTCATATAACAATTCATTATTAGGCTTTAGAAAGATGAGATTGCAATTATTTTGAGCGGCTGACAAATTACGACTAACATAACTCGTGTGAATTTAGTTGTGCTTCCAATACTCGTATATTGCCTTACTTGTGACCTCAATTGTGGAGTTAATTATTTCATAACTCGTGTTCAGATAATACATTTTGAAAAGCACGTGTGATTTCACCTTTGAATTGTCATGTATTTATTTTGTGCCTTCTTATTTTTTGAATGTGACCTCAATTTTGATCTTAAATGCATATGTGATGTGTTGATATTGTGATTTTAATTACTCGATCGTGATCGGTGAGTTGATGAAAGAGATGAAATTTTTATCTTGATGATTTTAATTGATAAGGTTAATCTGAGTAAATCTAGGAATTGATTGGTTGGTGGGAAACAGTAATAATTGAGATGATGAGAGAGACGGTCTTAGAATGAAGAATACTAAGGTGGCTCTAGGAATTTAAGGACATCGCCAAAATCACTAACAAAGAGAATAACAAAAAGTTCTAATTTCTAAGCTACTTTTGCTTGCTATGCCCTTGCTTTCAAAGATAAAAAAGATTTCTTCTCAAGATGCTCTCGTCTGGAAAAATATGCACTATAGACCTTTTAAAGTTGACCCAGAGAGGCACTAATAGAGTTTTTTTTTTTTTTTTTTTCATCGATTTTGACCCTTTTTGAACGATACCCTTTGTGAGATGTAGAAAACTTATTGATTTTTCAAAAGCACTGATTTTAGGTGATTTAAAAATATTGAACATTAGAGTAGGGTATATTTCTCAACCTTCAAATCAGTGGATTTTGGGCATTCTTCAAATTTTCTTTCAATTTTATCATACAATTATTTTCGACCCACATATTTTGTTTAAAACTAAATTTTAAATAAAAATACAATAACTAAAAAATTTATTTATAAACAAAAAAAAAAGAAAAAAAAGAAAGGGAACTTTACAGCTAAAAAAATTACTTATAAATAGGTAAAAATTCACTTTTATGTAAAAAGTTTCTTATAAAGAAAAAAATACTACTAATAAGAAAAAAGTTCTCTTGTAAAATATAAAAGTACTTATATAAGTAAAAAAATGCACTTATATGAAAAATATTAACTTCGAAATTTGTAAAGAATTCATGTCAACCTGTCGAGAAACTAATGTCTGCCCTAACGTCCTTATTTAGTTGGCATTTAGCTCATTCTATTTTTTAGGGTAATTGACACAAAACGTCTCTACCTTTAAGGTTTATTGTGGAAAATATCTCACCTTTTATTTTTTGACATTTTTGCTCATTTTCATCATTTTTTAATGTAAAATGACTAAAATACTCACCCTTTTAAATAAAACCAAAAAAAATAAAAAATAAAGAAAAATAAAAAATAAATTACAATTTTACGCCTAAATATTTTAAAAAGTGCAAGTAAGTCCAAATAATTATTAAAATGCCTAATAGTACAAAATGTTCCTACGTTTGGTCTATAGTGTGGAAAATGTCCATACGTTTCAATTTGGTGAAATGGATGTTTTCCGCAATGAAACGTGAAAATAGGGATGAAAACGCAAAAAAATTGAAACGTAGGGACATTT